TAAATTGTCTAGGTGTTAGTGTTGCGGTGAGTCTATAGAGCATATCTTTATTCTTTTCTATATCTTTATGAGTATTAGATAGTGGCAGGCAAAGGGGATTAGTAAAATGTTAAAATGCTGTCCAATGAAGTGTTGGCATTAAAACAGGTTCATCTACAAAACTACGTGTGTCGTTAGTGTCGTTAGGTGTGTTTAAAGTATATTGTGGGAATGAGGGTAAGGTGATTGCTAGAAAATCTTTCGTGTTGGTGTGGTGTGGATGGTTTATTTATTCGCAGGCTGTTCCTGGTTTGGTCGGGAATGGATGGTTCGGGAATTTTCTTTTAAAAGTGCGATAAGCTCGGTGAGTGCTATTTGATGATTCGGTGGTTGTGGATGATTGTGCTAATGATGCAGTGTAAGCTGAGGAGGGTGTAGGAGTAGGTGCGTTTGAGGATTCTATTGTGGATGAAATTTGATTTATAGTGAGGATGTTAGGGTGTATTAGCTGTTGTTGTAGGGTGATAAAATTATCGAGTTCTTGGGAGATTTGGGGGGGGGGTATCTGGAGAATTATTAGATGATCGGTCGGAATGAAATGGAGAATAGGTTGGGGTTACTTTTGAAGCATAAGAAGGAGTAGAAACGGATGGGAGTGGGTTATTTGGTGGGATCGGTTGAAAAGGGGGTTTTGAAAAAACTGAGGAGTTGGTTTGGAAATTATTGGATGGAGATGGTTCGGAGTCTGCAAATTCGTCAGGGGTTTCTATATTAGGGTTATTAAGTTGTGAAATGGAGTATAAAACTGAAATATCTGAATTAGTATCCGAATTCATGCTTGATGATATATTAAAAGTTGGAAAATCGGGTGGCGGGAAAGCAAAAAGTGGGATTATTGGGATTGGAGTGTGGAGGTTGGTTGGATGGGAATTTGAGCGGTGTAGGGATCCAAGTTTTCGGCTCATCGTGGGCTAAAAAATGATTGTTTTGAGACTGAAAAGCGGTGGTATGGGGTTGTTCTATAATTTGTTCATATGTATTATCATTTTGTGAATGATGTGTATATATATGTTGTATGGGACTTTGCGATATGTTTTGTCTAAAGTTTGGGTTATGTGTTATTGCTAGGTTTCGGAAATTACGTGGGACTAAGGATAATGGATGGTTATGTGGTAGGGGTGGCAACTGTTGTGCGGTAGGTGTTACTTCTATGTTATTATGTTCTTCGTCGTATGTGTTCTGTCTTGTCGCTATTTTTGTATGATTGTCTTTTATTTGTGCGTCTAGAAGAATTTTGTTGATTGATGATGAAAAAATTCCAAAAAATCCTGCAAATAGTATGCGTGCTACACTTGCTTGTTTATTTACTTGTGTGTGTATAGCGCATGTGTTATAGATTCCTTTTAAAAGTGAAAAAAGAAATCCTATAAAGTTAAACATTGCGTATAGGATAGTTAATTTTTCTAAGATGTAATAGGGCCATCCTAGAAAATCGAGAATTTCATTTTTTAGTGTAACAAAGCTAAAAATATTTATAGGTGAAATATCTTGTGGTCTGTATTTTTCACCGTTTAGATATATATAGTCTTTAATGTCTTTAAAATATCCGCTATAATCTTGTGTATAGATATCTGCAAATCCTGCGGTTTCGGCAAGTTTGCGTAAATTTTGGTCAATTGATTGTCTTTGTATACTGTCCATTTGTGTTAATAATTCTTGGAATTGTTGTATTCTAATGTGGTGTTGGATATCTGATTTTGAATATATTCCAATTGATTGTAAATCAATATTTGGATTACGAGCAATAGCTCTGATGCTTTCGGGTGAAAATTTTTTGAGTGATTGCATTAACGTGGGGTATGGAGTAAGAAGATAATATTTATCTTCATCAGGGTTTAACTGTACTACATTGTGGCTATTTTCTGATCCACATGGGATTGCGGTATCCCAAAAATATGTTCGTCTTGAAAGTGTGTCAACAAAATGTACCTTACTTTTATAAAAGATAGGGATTCTTTTATAGCATCGTTTATCTTCAAAAACATATAGTGGTGATACTTTTTTGGTACAAGTGTAAAACCATAAAATGTTTCCTTCGTAGTCTAGAAAATTTGATCTATTTCCTGATAATAAATATCCTGCGTAGGGTATTTTTAATACTGCTAGTGCGAGTGATTGTAGGATTTGTGTCCTTTCTAATTCGCATAGTTGGTAAAGTGTTTCTAATTCGGAGAGTGACATTTCTTGAAAAATTCGACTAATCGTGTAGTCTAACTTCATATTTAGGTGGATATCAAAGTGGATATTACCAAAATAAGTATTATTCATTTGTGATAGTTCTTGTAAACGTGTGCTTCTAGTGTCATGTGGCTTTAGTTTTTCCACCAGGTTGACCATTACTTTTTTGAAAGTTAACTGGTATATATGATGTTCCTTCGTGTAGATGGTGACCTGTGGCATAAGGGTCAATTTTTATTTTTCCAGTGGTCATGTCGAAACCTTTTTCGTATTCAACTAATATTTCAGAATATTGTGTTTTGTGAAGTGGGTTTCTGTATTTGCATGCAATTTCTGTTTCTTGATATATTTGGAAATGTGTTAATTTATTTTCTATATTATGGAGATTTCGAAAATCAGTACTTTGTTTTCGTGATGGATGGACTTGTTCATATGGAATTGATTGTATAAAATATTTTTCGTGAAATTTTATCATTCGAGCGTGTATTTTTGCTACTTGAAATGTTGTGCATGTATCTTCGGGAAACCAAACAATTGTTGCTTGTGTCCGTGTTGTAGGATCACAATAACCTTGATCGTTTTTACAAGGTAATCTATTTCCTTGATAGATCATTGTGTTGTCGGATAAATCTCGTGTGAGTTGTATTTTTTCGAGTTGTATTTTCCAATCGAAAAACATTATTTCTTGATATCCTTTATTTTTTGTGTCTGCTTTGCAGTTTGATGGATTATTTATACCAATGTGTGGTATCCAGTGATTATCGTGTATGTCATAAGTTGATCTTCCGTGTGCGCCGTTGTATGGGTATTTTTCATCTAGTTTTATATGTCCTTGATATCTTTCAAGTTCTGCTTGATGTACACAATCGGCAAAGACTTGAAAATATACTAGTTTTCTGTCGGTGTTTTTATTTCTTGTGATATTTAATCTGAGTAGCTCGTTTTTACAATCATCGGGATTTAGATGTAGAAGTCGTTCTATATTACTTTGGTAGAATGATTCGTGGTCAAGTCGGTTTTTATTTCCGTTTGAAACTTGTGAACAATGTACTTTCTTTTCGGAAAATGTTGCTGTAAGTTTATATCCTGCGACTGTTGTTGCTCGGGCTTTTGAATACAGTGTCGCTATTACATTTGTAGTTTCTATAGCTTGTGGTTCCGTTTCGCATTGTGATACTTGATTTATTGCATATTTGTGTAGTGTTTTTTGTTCATTTTCTTCACAATCGTAGTGTGTTACTAATAAGTCCTGGGGTCCTGTGCGGGGAGAGGCATTTGTGTTGTGATCGGAAAATGCTAGAAAAAGGATTTGTTAAAGTATCAATATTTTTAGAATATACATGTGTATGATAATCCTGAGTATGGGTTATAAAATGTGATGTAACCAATTGTCTTTTTGGTGTATCTGTCGTATTATATATTACTTCAGTTGTTATAAATGGTGGTGGTAGCGATTGAGCTGTTATATTGGGTGGGTTTAATGGGTGAGGATATTGAGCAATGTTGTTAAGTTTAACCGTGATTTCAAATTTTAATTGTAGACTATTTTTTTGGAGTATTTGGATGTTATGGTCACGAATGTCTTCGTGGATGTCTTGTCTATATTGTAGTCCATGGAGTGCCCAATTGTGGAGTCGGTTACTTTCGGGATGTTGTCCGAATAATGGTGGGGGTGCTGTGAACGTGTTCCAATCTAATCTTAAAGGGATATTTGTTGATGATTGTTCTCGATATCGGTTCACCCTGTGTGAATGAGTGTGTTGTCCAATAAGATAGCGTGACGAGCAGACGGTGTACCCCATCCGAAATTACTCTATGAGTTAACCACATCGGTCATAACTCATCTGGTGCGACCATACGTCTCGAATAAAACCTTAATAGCTTAGAATTAACCAAAAATAGAGTAGAATTTAGACAAAACGTTTTCAAAATGTTATACGATAATAATTTAATCGAAATGTCTCTACGACTCAATAGATCAGAGCCAATATTCCGAACGATAATAGAACTACCCGGAATTGAAAGAAGACCTCGAACAAGAGACGACATATTACAAAGTAGAAACTTACCAAATAGTTTTATGATCGTACGGCAAAAGCCAACACAAACTTTTATATTTAGAATCATATTAGCAATGAATTTAGATTTTCATCTGCAAACATAAAATTTTGAAGTCAATCTTCATGATCATTTCAGGCGCTAAACAAAATTATTAATATACAATAACGATTGATAAAAAGATCTCAAATCGTTTTCTTAATTTCTGCAGTCTTATATAAAACATGTTTGAAAAATATTTATTGAAAATGAAAATAAAAATTAGTAGCATGACAATAAATTGTTGAAAATCATAAAATCATCTGTTGTCCCAGCTTCATCACCTAAACATAACAGCAATCATAAGCTCACTAATATCATTAAGAAACTAAATCTTTTTCTTAAATAAATTTAAAGCAAATTAAACTTAAACTCACTTAATTTTAAAATTAGATCATCAAGGCTTATCCTTGGATCTCAATAAATTTTCTATTTCACTAAATTTAAAACCTGATCGTTAAGGCCTATCCTTGGATCAAAAAGAACAATTTTGTTCTCGCCCAACCACTTAACAAGTGTCTAACGACCTCAAACGTCGATTCACTATCCAACCCTTCCAAAAGACCCAAGACTAATAGAAAATTTTAAATAAAACTAACCATTCAAATTAGGATAAATAGTGAAGAACTTCGGTTATTCATCCTTCACTTGGACCCTCCTCTTACCAGACCCAAGATAGATCTTAGATTTAATAAGTTTAAAATAGTACCTGACAAACTACTTGCGTTCTAATTATACCTGAACCTTGTGGATCGATTTGATATTCTCCAACCCTTGAACACAATCACTACCCCTAAGTAAGATTAAGTAAGTTAACACCTTAGCTTAGACTAGCCACGAGAAAGTAAAAAATCATTCCTTGGAATTGATATACTTTTCTCTCCAACCCTAAATAAAAAGACCCAGGTTAAGCTAACCAAAAAATCGTAAGGACTAACAGTCTAAGAAAATAGAAATACCTAACAACTTTTTGCATCTCTCATCCTAAACCTTATGTCATTCAAAAATCTAGGAAATAAACAAACAATAGTTTTACACAACTGTGAGATAGATAACAAAAAATACGATCTTGTCATCACACCTCATACACAAACAGTTGGATACATTAGAACAAAACGACAAAAAACAAAAAGAAAAATTATAAACAAACAAAAACAAATCACACGAAAAATTTCAGAATCAGAAGCCAGCAATTTAGATGAACTCTACAAATTAAAAGCATCAATTGATAAAAATTGTCCCATTCACGATCAATTATATTTTTCCGATTCAGAAACAACTTCAAATTCATCAAAAAGAGGAAAAAGAAGAATAAAAAAGCAATACAAACACAAACCAGTACACTTGTATAATTGGAATCAACCAATTAGACACATTGATAGTTATATATTAACAGTCATCAAAAGAAAAAATGAGCCACACTCAAAGTGACGATAGTCCAGATGACAAAGAGATTTACCCCTTCCTCATAGATGCACCCGATAATAGAGGGCAACATGATTTTTGCAAGAATTTACTCGTAAAGTTATTTGAACCCGGAATCAGTCCATGCAAAGCAGAATTCCCAGATGTAAAAATCAAAAAACAAATTATTGAACATTATTTGAAAGATATATGTAACTTAACACAACAATATGGAATCTACACCATAGAATTCAGCACACCAAATACGAATCATCGTAAATACGTAATTCAAACAGATGATCTTGAATTAGAATTTTCAAAAGTATTCTTAGAATATATCAAAAATATACAATATCATCATTCACAAAGAGCAAACTCTATATTCACTAACGAAGTTTTTACAATAGTATATACCTATATTTCTATATTAGAAAAAACAGAATTTCAAAGTATCTCACCAACTGAAACATCCAAACATACAAAAGTACGAGAGGAAATCACAATATTTTCAACTTTTCTACATATAATTGAAGAAAATTTCACTAAAGACGATGTTTCACAACACACAAAACATGACTTACAAAAAATTTTGGCATGGTTTATAATAGATTATTTCACACATAATTTAGACTTAATTTCACAAGCAAGAAAAAATTTTAGACCTCAAAATCCAAATGATGATACTGCCATTACAGAACAATCAGACTACATTTGGGACCCTGAATGGTCTCATCCTACTTTTATAAATATCCCACAATCTATTTCAAGTCAAGCAATAAGTACAATATCTTCCCACAGAGATTATGTAAAAGTAGTACCACTAACCATTGATGCAACACCATTAAACTACAATACATTTTTACCTGATACATGAAATAACAGTTTAAATTCGACCGTCATACACAATGAAAACCTTAATGGAACTAGAAATCTTACACAACAAGATATTCAAACACCATCACACTTCATAAATGAAGAAATTGTCCAAACAACAACAACTACACAACAAAGTATTTCACCAATACATCCAAATATAACAACACCAAGAAATACAATTACTTCACTGGCACAAGTAACCTTACAGTCAACCGTTAAACCTTCGGTTGCTCCAAAATATTCACATATGGATTATCAAACATATAGACCCATGACAGTACCATCAAAACCACGAAAAACGTTCACAAGAAACACTTTTGCAGAACACAAATATAATTATGCATATTCGCCAAAAACAAACTACCCCATTACGAAAAAATAATAATCATGTATGTTCTCACTATTGGGATAACCCAATGACAACAACGAACTCAGTAAATTTTCGAACTAATTCACATCCTCCACAGGATCATAGTGAAAATTACCCATTCTTTCAACAAAATAAAAATAAAAAGCAAGCACCTCATCATACAGATTACTTATCATCTGATGATGATTATTTACAACCAGACATTTTTGCACCATATACCCAAAAATATTGCACGCAAGGATCGCGACCACCTCATACATATTATAGAATTTTTTCTCCAAACCCAACAGATACACGAAATCAACAACCAATACATAAGCCAAATCCAACTAATACACAATCTTTTCAACCGATTCAACCACAAAACCCAATGACTATACACTCGTATCAACCAACTCAAATGCAAAATGAAATACCACTTCCATATTATCTTCAGCAACAGAAAATAACAAAAAATCAACTTTCAAATTTTTCGCAAATGCCAAATGCCGCAGAATCACTACAAATGACAACGAATCCATACCTCATGGGTGGATCATCAATAACATCAAATAAACCACTGATGATATTTACAGGAACAGATCTTGAATATTCTGTAGAAGATTATTTAAATGCAGTAACAGCAAATTTAATTTTAAATATAGGACCTCAAAATTGGATACATAAACGAACAGCATTGATAGAAACAACCTTAGATGGCGCAGCTCAAAAATGGTTTTCAAAATTACCTATAGAAATAAAATCAGACTGGAAAAGATTTACACAAGAATTTTCAAACATGTTTGACTCCGAAAGAAATAAACAACACCAAAGAGTTTTATGTAACGAAATTCGCAGATTACCAAATGAAACCATCAAACAATTAGCAGTACGTATCAAAACACTAGTACGAAAAGCATATTCACTTAACACACATGACTATAAAAACACAAAAATGACAGAAATTTTAATGATGACCGTAACACCTCAATTAAGGAAAATAGCAATAAAAAAGAGAGCATCTCATCCTTCCTCAATTAGAGAGCCAGATTTAGATTTTCGAAAACCAGTAGACAAACTAGAGCAAGCGGAAATCACAATGAAACTTGAAGAAACAGAAAATCTAAACTACAATATGTTAATCGAATTGAAACAAACACTACACATATAAATAACATACAGGAATCAGATACAGACCTACTTGAAAAAATCACTGAAATACTAAATATTTATGAAAAACACCCAAATTTTAAAGTCAAACCATCTTTCAAAAAACGGTGTAATTATTGTCGACGATACGGACACAGTATTTGCGAATGTAGACAAAAACAACAAGATAACCAAAACAAACCTCAAAAGCATAAAGAACCAAATAATTCGTTCTATCATTATATGAAAAAAGATCAAAATCTACCAAACAAAAATATATATAGTAACAACAGTTCAGGAAAACCACTTCCGAACAACACCAATTACACAAGAAATCAATCACCATATAACTCAAGTTATAGAGGAAGATCACCAGAACGAAGAAATACACAGAATTCTTCACAAAATAATTATAATCGATCAAATAGCCGAAATAACTATTCGAGATCAAAATTCAATGCAACACAATTTGTTTGTAGATCCAGTTCCCAATCAAACCCAAGGAATAAACACTATTCCAATAATCAATCACGAAACTCATCATACAACAGAAATAGAAACTATTCACATAATCGAAATAGAAGTTATTCGAACAATCGAAATCAGAATTACCCAAACAATCGATCAAGAAATAACTCGTATAATAGATCAAACTATCACAGATCAAATGACAATTATCAAAACAGATCACGGAATAATTCACAAAATCGAAATTCAAGTTATAATAATCAATATAGAAATTATTCCCAGTCACCACATAGGAATAATTACCATTATAATAATTCTAAACATCGATACAGAAGTAGTACACCAAAACATCAAAGACATATTAATCAAGTACAGTCAAATGAAGAAACAGCATCAGCCCCCCAGGTATTGATGACACAGGAAGTAACGAACTACAACTAAATCAAATAAACTGTGGATCATCAGATACAGAAAGTGATACAGAAAATACCATCTCCGTAAATATGATAACAGTCGAAAACGACTACGAACCTATCATATATGAACAACCTTTTACATCACCTATACATGAAAATCAACTGGAACTCCTTCACAATTATTATATTGAACCCATCAATACTACACAAACTGCACAAGAAATAAACGAAATTAACACGGTAAAAAAACCCGATGAAAAAGACAAAACAAAATGTTTAAACACAAATCATATTTATCAAAATATACAAAAAAAACAACCCAGAGAAAAAATTTGGACAATACCATTTCTCTTAGAAAGTCCAAGTAACAAAGAATTTCAACCACCAGATCTTGAAATTGATTTTTTAATTGATTCAGGAGCAGAATCAAACATAAATAAAATTCCCACATGGAATGAATTCAAAATATTAAATCCAAATTTAACGCCTCTTGCAACCTCTAGTAAACTAGCAACAGCACAAGGATCAACATTAGTAAACTATGGGAAAATCCAATTATTCCTTCTCCCCACAAGAACAATGGAACAAAATAAAATTCTAAACAAACCATTTAAACAAATATTTCATATTACTGATATTAAACACGATATCATTGGCATACCATTTGTATCAAAAAATATACCAACAATCAACATCTTGATTAGCAAAATACTAATCAAAGATAAGTACACAAAAACAAAAATACAGCTCTAACATTTTTTCAAAGATTAAATAAACAACCACCATTCTTCTCAAAATTTTATCCAATTTATAACCAACAACGGAAACACCTGAAACCACTATCAGGAAATATATATAACTTTTCAATAAACCAAGTTCACCAGTATGATAAAAGTCAAAATAAACAACAACTTTTTATGTCAGACTTTGAATTTAAACCTATTCACAAGTTTTTCAAAATCACGATTTCATCTATAAAATATTTGAAAAACACGAATTCCGACATCATTTCGCTACACGTGTATAACAATACACTGT